GTCGTCGTCGTCGTCGTCGTCGTCGTCGTCGTCGTCGTCGTCGTCGTCGTCACCGTCGACGTGTGCGTCCCGCCCTCCTCGACCTCGCCCTCCTTGGCTCAGCTCCCAATGGCTCTTTCGCAGATGTCACCAAATGGCGGTGAACATGCTAAAAACATTACAGTGGAAAGGTTGACATGGAGGTGGGAGCAAACTGGGAATGGCGGGCTCATCCGATAGTTTTGCAGGGCGAAACAAAAGGGGCGCCATCCCCGCCTGCCGTCGACAGAGCCCGCCACCCCGGAGACTAGGACACCCAATCCTGTCCCGCTCGCCACCTCAAGGGAATCGACCTCCCCAAATACGCTCCCGTAGTTGGGTCGATCCTTCGCGTGAGCTTCCAAAAGCTTACTACCTTCTCCTTCGTGCTAAGGCCCCCCACACACCTGTCACGCAGGAATCGCGACCTGGAGGACCCAAACGCTCCGCACCGGCTGCAACAAGCCAGGCGGCCTACGCCGAGCCAGACACTGTGGGTCATGCGTGAGGCCCTCGCAGTACGCGGCGCACCGCCGCACGTCAAAACTGAAATAGCACTCCTGGATTGTCCTGGGCCTCCTCGTCCTCGTCCTCCTCCTCCTCCGACGCAGTGTCTCCTCGTCCTCGTCCTCCTCGTCCTTGTCCTCCTCCTCGTCCTCGATGCAGTGTCTCCTCGTCCTCGTCCTCCTGCTCCTCCCCCGCCCCCTCCTCCTCCGACGCCGCCTCTGGAGGTCCGCAAGGCCTCGCAGAATTCCCCATGCGGACGCGCCCGCTGGGGCGCTGGGTGGAGACCCCTGTGGGCCACGAAACGCTTGACAGGTGTGCCAAAGTGCGGTGGCGGCGGCATGCGACCCTTCCCGCTGGGGCCTTCGATGTGGCTCCCTGTGGGGCCACGGAACGTGTCACGGGTGTGCAAGATTGCGGTGGCGGCGACATGCGACCTTTTCCACTGGGGCACTCGGTGCAGGTCCTTATGGCGCCACGAAGCGTGTGACAGGTGTGCGGTGGCGGCGACATGCGACCTCTCCCACTGGGGCCGGTGTGGCTCCCTGTGGGGCCACGGAACGTGTCACGGGTGTGCCAAAGTTCGATGGCGGCGGCATGCGACCTTTCTCACTGGGGCCTTCGGTGCAGCTTCACCATGGGCGGAAGAAGGCATGCAGGTGGAGCTCCGTATGGGGCCACGAAACGTGTGAGGTGTGTGTGTGTGCCGAAGCAGAGACTACTGGGGTAGGAGTGAAGATGGGAAGGAGGAAGGAAGACCCAACACCACAGGGTCGTTGGGAAAAACTCAACATTAGACACTGGTCCCTCGGAGAGGCAGGGACCTCTAGGACCCGCGTTTTGACAAAGCACGACCAATACTCGTTCGAACCGTGCTCCGTCGAACCGTCAGCCCACCCTGCCCTCTCCACCAATTCCATGGGGTTCACTCATTCTGCGAGTCGCTTCTTGACGGCAATGGGTCCCGAACGGCCTCTGGACGCCGAGAACTGCGAAAAACCTCAGTCACATTTGTTCCCCAGTCGCCAGTGGTCTGGGGAGGGGGATGCAGAGTAAGGGGAGGGACGTGGTCTGGCGCCGCCGCGCGACCGCTCAATGCATCGGAAACCGCGGTCCAGACTTCCAGGACGACGTGGCGAATCAAGGGGGCGCGACAAGGCAGCAGTGGGAGGCACTTGCTGCTTCCATCTTTCCCCTGCTCCAAGTGCTCGTGCTGTGACCGATGCGACAAAGGGGGCGACTAGCCCAGGGGAGAGCGCAATACATGTATCCAAGGGCGCTGATGGTCCATGCCTTCGGCACGGCTCCCTGGCGAATACGAGTCATGCCCGCCCGTGGGCTACTCGCCCCTTATCGTCGTCTCCGATGTGACAGCTGTCGGCGGAAACGCACAGAACAAGACCAAAACAAACAAAACGCAACTGAAGGGCCACGAAAGCGCACCCTGTGGGCGCGTGGTGCGCAAGCGGCCTCGGGCGGAGGCCCGTCGGTGGGCGGTGGCCCAGCGTGCCCGCCGTTGCTGCCGCGCTGGCCGGGCGGCTGCGGCGCTTGGCCCACAACGAACGAGTCACAAGCCCGGCGGGCGACAAGAAGACAGAGGGCCGCACGCGAGATGGCATCGACGACCTCACGCCGCGGCTCACACGGGTCGCCAGCGTGGCGCGCCACATCGGAGAGGAGGGCGCTTGCGCGCGACGCTCACGCGCCAAGGGCCGCGCACACGGCCCCGTTTTCGATCCTCGCTCGAGTGGCGATGCCCGCGGCGCTTCGCGGGCCGCCCACCGGGGAGCGGGGCGACGCCCCGAGCGCTTTTTGGTAGTGCTATCCGCCCGATCGACCCGAGATTGAGATGGCGAGCGGGAGTCAGGTCGAAGATGGGGGAAACAATTAGAACTCCAACAAATTGTCAAATATCGAGGAGGAGGGGGAGGAGGAGGAGGAGGAGGAGGAGGAGGAGGAGGAGAGGAGGAGGAGGAGGAGGAGGAGCAGGGGGGAGGGGGGGAGGAGGAGGAGGAGGAGGAGGAGGAGGAGGAGGAGGTGGAGGACGAGAAAAAAACAAAACTTCCCTCGAGGAGCCGTCGCGGCAGGCCGAGCGGACCGCGCAGCGGAGGGGGCGGCCCCGGCGCGCGCGACGGCCGGGTGCGCTGCGCGGCGTCCCTCGCGTCCGCTGGGCAGGGCGGCGCTTGCCGGGGCCCCCGCGGCGGAGGCAGCCGTCGCTGGCGGGCTCGTTGTCCAACGCCACCGCCAGGAGGAGGAGGAGGAGGGAGTCCTCCTCCTCATCTTCCTCCTCCTCCTCCTCCTCCGCCTCCTCCTCCTCCTCCTCCACCCCCTCCGACTTATGGTGATGGTGGTGGAAGACAAGCCCATCGCTCGCGGCCAAGGTGCTGCTGGACTCCATGGGGACGAGCTCAGCAAAGAGCGGGCGGTTTGTGAAGTGCGGCGGCGGAGCTCTGCGGCACGAAGCACGCCAGCGCGCAACTGGAGGCGGCGACCCGGTGCGACACCCAAATCTGCCGACCCTGTCGGCGTGGTGAGCGTTTTCTTATTCGGCCTTTCGACATTGGGAGGAAGGAGGGGCCGAGATGGAGGATCTGGCTCTGGACCTCTGCGTAGTGCCACTGTTTGCAGCAGTACGTCCTGTGGGGGGAGACCCCACCTGCTCGAAAAAGGTGCCGAAAACAGCCAAGTTCTACTCTAGGGGGGAGGGGGAAGGGGGGGTGCGAGGGCCCGCGCCGATCGGCAAAACAATGAACAAGAAAAACATTCACGTGTGTGAGGGGCTTGTCTGTTCGAGTCGTCGTCTCCGTCAGTCGTCGTCTCTGTCGTCCCCTTTCCCTGTCACGCCCTTCAAACTGCCCAAGAGGCCTCCGATTCGCCCCGAGAAGTATCCAAGACCACTCCCGAGGGGGCCCCAAGAGGCAACATGAATTGATGCTGCTTGGGTTTTTGCTGCGGATTTTGGCGTTCTCGCATTTTCCTCTTCCCGCAGCTCGAAGACGGCCCCAAAACCCCCCAAGATCGACCCACGACGACCCAAGAGGCCCCGCAGGCGGCTCCAAGAGCGTGCCCAGACGGGGGACCCGAGCGGACATTTCGAGCCTTCGGCCCCGAGAGGCTCCCAGGAGGCCCAAGGAGGTTCCCAAGAGGCCCCAAGAGGCCCACAAGAGGTCCCCAGGAAGCCCGAAGAGGCCCCTCAGAGGCTCCCAAGGGCCCCGAAGAGGCTCCCAAGAGGCCCCCTAAACTCCTCCCCAGAGGCCCTCGAGAGCCTTCCGAACAGATCCCAAGAAGCATCCCTGAAGACTCTGGCCCACGTCAGCGTCGTCGCCGTCGCCGTCGCCGCCGCCGCCGTTGTCGTCGTCGTCGTCGTCCTCCTCCTCCTTCAGGGTGGGCGGCGCCGGCCGTAAGGCCTTCGCAAGAAATCGGCACGGGGCTGAGGAGCGCCTCGGCACGGTGCTGCAGACGGCATCGCGCGGCCAGGCAGGACGCAGGACGCGGCGGCGCCTCGGCTCGAGGCGGCAGGGCGCTGCTGCCAGGAGCCGCGCGGCGGCGCGCGGGGCAGCGGCAACTGCGGAGCAGGGGGCCTGGGCGCCCGACGGCGTGAAGCCAGGGTGCGGAGCTCCTCGGCGCGGAACGCATCGGTGCGAGACTGGCGGCGGCGATCCCACGACGACCTCCGCAGAGCACTTCGGCGTGGCAGCTGCCCAACTTCGCGCTGCGCGCGGTGCGATGCGCGTCTGTGCTCACAGGCCTCGCGCTGCCGCCCTCGAAGAGGCTCCTGGAGACCCCACCGGAAGCCAAGCAGGAGCGCAGGAACGTCCAAAAACATGGATCCTCCAGCATCGAACCCTCGCCCCCCAGTCCTTGCCCAGCACCTGCGCCCACGCTGTGAAATCCCTGCCCCCCCGCGCCCATGCCGGGCCACCTCCAGCGGTGTTCCTGGAGACCATGTTGCCGCCGACGACGCGGATGGCGACGCGGAGCCTCTGAGGAGATGGGCAGGTGAGCGACGAAACTAAATGGGTCTTACGCGACATGGCATAGCGACCTCACGCCGCGGCTTACGCGGGCCGCCAGCGCGGCACGCCACACTGGAAGCGAGGGCGCTCACGCGTGACCTTACGCGGGCAGCTCACGCGCAAATGCCGATGAAGACGAACCCGTTTTCCTTCGTCGCTCAGGTGGCGCGGGTCTCCTTCGTCCCTCGCCCTCCTCCTCATCCTCCTGCTGCTCCTGATCCTCCCACGGGGCACAGCATCATCCTAACATACGTCTCGTTGCCTCTGTTCCCCCCCTTGAAAGCCTTTTGGCGCCCCCCACCTGCGGGTCCAAGACGGCCTGGTCCCAAATCAGTGGTCCTCGGAAGGCCAAAGAACTGCTATCGGCGAGGCGCAGCTGCTCGAGGGCACCCCGAGGCTGGAAGATCCCGCCGGGGTCCCACTAGAGCGCTGGAACAGCGCTCGGAACCCCACGTTGCAGCGCGCTGGGGAGGGGATCGGGGATCTGCGCCTCGGAGATGGGCATGCATGAGCGAAACGAGTCCTGCGGCAAACGGGTCCTGAACCCTGGGGGCTCTCCCCGGGGCGATACTCCTATCCCGAGTCGTCGTTTGACCGTCCTGGCGCCCATGGAGGGCCCCCGGAGCCCGACAGAGAGCACCCAACCTGAGGAACCGCTTCCCTGAGGCTCTGAGGACCCCTCACGCCGCGTACAAAAACGCGAACAAAAACGCCGCGTACCCGCGCGGCCGCTCCCGCCCCGCATGACGAGGCGCTGCGAGCCCCAAAGCCGTGTGGTGACGGACCGCGTGAAGGCCTCGGGACCCCCGGCGACCTCACCAGGCGGCCTGTCGCCGCACGGCTTTTGGACCTCGGAGGCCCCAGGTCGCCCGGGTCAGAGACATCCTCGGAGCACGGCTGTCGAGTCCCGAGAACGCGCCGAAGCCCCACTGACTCACCAAGCGGTGCGGTCACCACACCGCCTGTGGGAGAAGCAGAATCATACGGCTAGGCACTCCCTGGACCTCTCCCGGGGTGGCGTTCGGACCAAAGCTTCGAGGCGAACCCAGCGGTGGCGACGAGGGCCTCCCAGGAGGCCCAGGCAGGCGAGAACGGTGCAAGGCTGGCGGTATCGAGGCTCTCCCCTCCGCTGGCTCACCACGCGGTGTGGCCACCACGCGCGCTCTGGGTGCCCCCCGAGGAGAGCGGCGGCGGCGGCGGCAGGCCGGCGGCGGCGGCTTGCCCGCAGGGCGGGGGAACCGCCGCGGCGCCGGGCCCTGCTCCACGGCCAGGCGGCGGAGCCGTCGCCGCGGGCCTGCGGGGGAGGCGCCCCCCCCTCGGAGCGCGCTCGGCCTCCGAAGCCGAGCTCGGCCGCCGCGCCCTCCGCCGCCCAGCACGGGGACGAAGCCAGGACGAGGAGAAGCTCGGGCGAGGGCAAAGCGAGAATCTCGTAGATCTGGCGGCTCTGGAGGATGTCTCGGGCGCCGCGCGGCCTTCTCAGAGAGCTCTGGAGCGCCCTGACAGCGTTCCAGAACGCTCTGGAAAGGAGTTATCCTCGTCCGCCCCTGCACACTCCTTTCTCTGCGGCCGCGGCTGGGAGGTGGGAGCCACCGTGGATTTCTCCGCGGTGGCGCTTCTCTTCCAGCCGCGGCCGCGGTCGCTGTCGCTGCTGCGGCTGCGGCTGCGGCTGGAAGAGGGGAAACTACGGAGACAAGGAAGCTGCCACACACCTGCGCGCAAGAGCTTAGGGCTGAGGGTTTCGGGTTCCGCCCCGACGGGGTGGTGCAGAAAGCTGGCCCGCTCGGCAGCCACACGGCCGGGGCCCCGTGCCCGCTCTGCCTCTGGACGACATCAGGGGCCGAGCGGGCTCAGGAGGCGAGGCCGCGGGCCCGACCGCTCGGCGCGGCTCGTCTCGATCGAGGCTCGAGGCTCGACGGGGAGGTCTCTCCTCGCTGGCCCCTCGAGGCGAGGCCCGCTGCGGGCCCCGGGCAGGACCTCCGGGAGGACTCCCTGGAGGCCCTCGGGAGGACCTGCGCAGACCCTGGGAGGCCTCCAGGGGCGGCCGCCGCCGCCGCCCACGGCAACGGCGATGGATCGATGGACCGATCGAGCTTCGAGAGAGTGCTCCGCCATGCCCGGCCCCTCGAGGCCGCGACTCGGGCCACGGGGCCGCCAAACATCGGCCAAGGATGGAGAAAATACTGTGCCAGCAGTGTCGACCACTTCCCCAGGGATTGTCTTTCGTCCCCGCCTCATTTTTGATAGCCCTGAGGCCCAAAAACGGCCCCCAGAGGCCGAAATTAAGAAAGATCACCCTGACAGCAGAATCGGGGGCATCCGAAAGCGGGTTGTCCAGCAGGGGGGTTCTGAACTCATGGCCGGAGGCATGTATGCGCGGCGGCCGTTCTGGACGATCCTGAGATCCCTGGCTCTCGACGAGGCGCAGATGTTGATAAGTTCCCCAAGAAACGAGAAAACGCCCAGGAGCCAACGAAAACGCCCGAAAACTTTCAAGCCTCTGTTCGGGAATCGACGCCTACCGACACAGCCGTTGTTGGGCAGGCGGCGTCTCAAACGGACAACGTCCATGGCGACGCCGACACCGAGTCCTGTTCAACATGATCCGGAGATGCCGTCCGTCTCCTCTCCTCCGATCGTACCGAACTGCAGGCCGGAGGATCGGGAGCGGCCAAGAGGGGGGTGTCCAAGAGGGGGGGGTGCAAATCATGACCGGCGGCATGTGCGCGGCCCAGCGTGGGGGCCAGGGACGTAATGGAATAAGAAGAGGCGCCATGAAATCTGGGGAAATATCATGGCCCACGCCATGATATCCCCCCCCTAGTCATCACCCCCCTCTTTGCCGCCCGCCGGAGGAGGAACGGGTTCGTGCCGGACTGGACGGGACCGGGATCGGAGGCGAAGCTGCCCCGCCGCAGGCCGCGACGGGCTGACGGGGGCGGGCCCTGCAGCCTACGGCGGGGGCGTACATAGGAGGCTTCCGACCCTGGAGGACTCGCCATCGGATGGGGGCGGCTGTGACGTCCCTGGTCGAGCCTCACCTCGTGTTTGGACGCCCGAAATGGGTACGGAAGAAATGGGTACAATGCCCAACAACAAGCGTTGTCCCAAACCAACAGCGGCCGCTGTTGGGCAGGCGGCCGTTTGTCTCAAATGGACCCAGGCCGCGGCGGCGCCGACGGCGAGTCCTGTTCAAAATGAACGGGAACTGCTGTTGGGCACTGTACCCATTTTTTTCTGTACCCATCTTCGGCTATACGCAAGAGTGACCATGGGTAAGAGTGGCCTTTGGTGCGCGACTTCTGGGGTGCCGCGGGGGACCAAACCTCAGCGCGCAAGCAGCTGCTGCTGCTGCTCCGTTCTCAGCCATCTGGGGACCCATCTGTGCCCGCACCACAGGTCACTCCGGCGAAAGGTCACTCTTGCGTCTAGTCGGCCATTTCGTTCGTGCTGATCGCGTGCCGAGGCGAGACGGTGACGGCGCCGGCGACCGAGGCGGCCGGCGGCGGGGGCTCCTCGAGCGCCGCGGCGGGCCCGGGGGCGCTCAGGAGCAGGGCGGCGGCGGCCGCGCGGGCTGCCCTGGGCGACGCGGGGGGGGGGAAGAGCCGCTGCCGCCGGAGGGCCCGCCGCGAGGGGCCCTCCGCGAGGGGGCCTCCGAGAGGGAAGGCCGCCGGGAAGGCGGTCGGGGGGCGGCCCTCGGGGAGGCCTCGCGGAGGGCCCATCGAGTGGCCTCCGGTGGGCCTTCGGACAATTTTTTTATTATTATTTTCTGCTTGTTTCTCTCTCGCTCTCTCTCTCTCTCTCTGTCTCTCTCTCTCTCTCTGTATCTATATACAACAAAAACAAAACAAAACAAAAAAAAAAAAAAACATGCCCTCCAGGAGGCCCTCCGGGAGGCCATCCAGGAGGTGGTCTTCGGAGAGCCGTCGGAAGGGCTTTGGGCGCCGTAGGGGGGGGGCCTCTGGACGGCCTCCACGGACCTCTGGATGCTTCTGGGAACCTCCGCAGTCGCCGCCGCCGCCGCCATCGCCGCCGTCGATGATCGAGGATCGCAGTCTTGGGTGTGCTTGGCCTTTTTTGGGAGAGGGATTAGGTCAGTCGGTCGCCAAACGAGTTTCCCAGACACCTGGTTGAAAAAATTAGCCTGGCGAAGGACCCAACCATATGCAGTTGTGAATGCCGCAATTGTGCTGGGTGGTGGCGGACATGCGGGCGGTGCCAGTGGGACCTTCGGTGGAGCTCCCTATGGGGCCACGAAGCGCTGTACTGGGTGGGTGAGACGCGGTCAGCAAGGGCTGTGCTGCGTGGTGGCGGACGCATGCGAGCGGTGCCACTGGGACCTTGGGTGGAGCTCCCTATGGGGCCACGAAACGCTGTACTGGGTGGGTGAAGCGCAGGCAGGGAGCAAGGGCTGTGCAGGGTGGTGGCGGACGCATGCGGGCGGTGCCGCTGGGACCTTTGGCGGAGCTCCCTATAGGGCTACGAAGCGCTGTTCTGGGTGGGTGAAGCGCAGGGAACAAGGGCTGTGCTGGGTGGTGGCGGACGCAAGCGGGAAGTGCCACTGGGACCTTTGGTGGAGCCCCCTATGGGGCCACGAAACGTGCGAGGGGTGTGCCAGAATGGGGTGTGGAACCGCATGCCAGCGCAGCCACTGGGGCCTTCGGTGGAGCTCCCTATGGAGCCACGAAACGTGTGAGGGGTGTGCCGAAATGGGGGGTGGAACCGCATGCGAGCGCAGCCACTGCGGCGTTCGGTGGAGCTCCCTATGGGGCCACGAGACGTGTGAAGGGCGTGCCGAAAAAGGGGGTGGAACCGCATGCGAGCGCAGCCACTGGGGCCTTCGGTGGAGCTCTCTATGGGGCCACGAACCGTGTGAGGGGTGTGCCGAAATGGGGGGGGAACCACATGCGAGCGCAGCCACTGGGGCGTTCGGTGGAGCTCCCCATGGAGCCACCCACGAAGCGTGTGAGGGGTGTGCCGAAATGGAGGGTGGAACCGCATGCGGGCGCAGCCACTGGGGCCTTCGGTGGAGCTCCCTATGGGGCCACGAAACGTGTGAGGGGCGTGCCAGAATGGGGGGTGGAACCGCATGCCGCAGCCACTGGGGCCTTCGGTGGAGCTCCCTATGGGGCCACGAAACGTGTGAGGGGTGTGCCAGAATGGGGGGTGGAACCGCATGCGGGCGCAGCCACTGGGGCCTTCGGTGGAGCTCCCTATGGGGCCACGAAACGTGTGAGGGGTGTGCCAGAATGGAGGGTGGAACCGCATGCGGGCGCAGCCACTGGTGCCTTCGGTGGAGCTCCCTATGGGGCCACGAAACGTGTGAGGGGTGTGCCAGAATGGGGGGTGGAACCGCATGCGGGCGCAGCCACTGGGGCCTTCGGTGGAGCTCCCTATGGGGCCACGAAACGTGTGAGGGGTGTGCCAGAATGGGTGCGGGAGGGGGAGGAGGGGGGAGGAAGGGGAGGAGGAGGAAGGAGGAGGAAGGAGGAACGCGGGGCGACGTCTCTTCAAAACGAGGACCCAACACCACAGGATGGTTGGGAATCATGTCGCCACTCCGGACTTCTGGAAGACGGTTGCGAGCGCCGGGATCCGTCAACATATGTCATCACGCCCCCCTCACACTCGAGCCATGCAACATCCACACGACGAGAGGCTCGCCCAGTCTGCGGCTGCCACGGATAGGCTGGCTAACCCTCAGGCCACAGCGGCGGCCGACACGAACGGGCAGGACGCTCCACGGCCACTTGACTACACAGGCGCTCATCGGCGCTCACGCTTGCGCATCCAGCCGCGAGTCCAGCCAGCTGTCCAGCAACTGGTGCTCTGGCGCGTTTCACCCCAAATGTTAGGTCGGGCATGTCCCCCTAGCATTTTGGACGAAGAAAAAATTAGCCTGACGAATGACCCAACCATATGCAGGTGTGAGTACCGCAATTGTGATTCCCTTTTCGGTGGTGATCCCTATGAGGCAACGAACCGTGCTAGGGGTGTGCCGAAACGAGTGGCGTGGTACACGACGCGAGCGAAAACGATTGATCTGAGTACGTCGGGAGACTGAGCGCGGGTGAATCTGAGCGCGATTGCGTCTGACTGTGAACGAATCTGCGTGCGAGCGAGTCTACGTGCACGAATGCGAGTATGCCAATGCATGGTGCAATTGTATATGAATGCGAATAGTTTGTGAGTGACTGCCTCTGAGTACTCGTGACGCTGGGCGTGGCCGCCGCAAGGAGCTTCCCCGGGGCTCCCCGACGGCATCGCCCGCGCGCCGCGACGCCACCGCGAGGATCGCGCCCGCTTCCTCCCCTTCTTTTACTCCCTCTTTGCCCGCGCACTCAAAAGTCCAAAGCTGCGGGCGCAGCGCAGCGCGGAGTCCCAGCGACGCGCGCAGGTCGCCCCGGAGGGGTCCCAGCGACGCGCGCAGGTCGTCCGCTGCACGCAGCAAAAAGAGCTAGCTGGCTGGCTGATAGCGGGCAAGGCTCTTGCCGCTGGGCAGAGCGACGACGGGCGAGCGAGGCGCGGAACTCCGACGGCCTCCGGCGGAGGTGTACTGGGTGGGGGAGACGCAAGCGGACTGCGCCACGGGGACCTTCGGTGGAGCTCCCTATGGGGCCACGAAACGTGTGAGGGATGTGCCGGAATGGGTGTGCGGGACGCATGCGGGCACACCCACTGGGACCTTCGGTTGGGCTCCCTATGGGGCCGCGGAACGTGTGAGGGATGTGCCGAAATGGGTGTGCGGGACGCATGCGGGCACACCCACTGGGACCTCGGTGGAGCTCCCTATGGGGCCACGAAACGTGTGAGGGGTGTGCCAAAATGGGTGTGCGGGACGCATGCGGGTGAGGGGTGTGCCGAAATGGGCACGCATGCGGGACTGGGACCTTCGGAGCTCCCTATGGGGCCACGAAACGTGTGAGGGGTGTGCCGAAATGGGTGTGCGGGACGCATGCGGGCACACTGGGACCTTCGGTGGAGCTCCCTATGGGGCCACGAAACGTTTGAAGGGTGTGCCGAATGGGTGTGCGGGACGCATGCGGGCACACCCACTGGGACCTTCGGTGGAGCTCCCTATGGGGCCACGAAACGTGGAGGGGTGTGCCGAAATGGGTGCGGGACGCATGCGGGCACACCCACTGGGACCTTCGGTGGAGCTCCCTATGGGGCCACGAAACGTGTGAGGGTGTGCCGAAATGGGTGTGCGGGACGCATGCGGGCACACCCACTGGGACCTTCGGTGGAGCTCCCTATGGGGCCACGAAACGTGTGAGGGGTGTGCCGAAATGGGTGTGCGGGACGCATGCGGGCACACCCACTGGGACCTTCGGTGGAGCTCCCTATGGGGCCACGAAACGTGTGAGGGGTGTGCCGAAATGGGTGTGCGGGACGCATGCGGGCACACCCACTGGGACCTTCGGTGGAGCTCCCTATGGGCCACGAAACGTGTGAGGGGTGTGCCGAATGGGTGTGCGGGACGCATGCGGGCACACCCACTGGGACCTTCGGTGGAGCTCCCTATGGGGCCACGAAACGTGTGAGGGGTGTGCCGAAATGGGTGTGCGGGACGCATGCGGGCACACCCACTGGGACCTTCGGTGGAGCTCCCTATGGGGCCACGAAACGTGTGAGGGGTGTGCCGAAATGGGTGATGACGATGATGATGGTGGGAGGAGGAGGAGGAGGAGGAAGAGGAGGGGGCAGCGGGAAGGAAGGAAGGAACGCGGGGCGACGTCTCTTCAAAACGAGGACCCAACACCACAGGATGGTTGGGAAATAATCGACAAATTGCCCCCTGACTATCTTACTACTTCAAAAATGTTCCTCCTGTGGAGGGACATGCCCGAATAAACTCACATGTTCAATCACAGTCCGCGTCCTGCCTGGCACGCAAGCCTCGGCACCCCGCGCAGGGGCGCCTCGTGGCGGGGTGCACTCAGGCTGGGGGGGGGGGGGGGGGGGGGGGCGCCACGATGCCCTTCCCCCTCCTCCTCCTCCTCCTCCCCCTCCCCCCCCCCTCCTCCTCCTCCTCCTCCTCCTCCTCCTCCTCCTCCTCCGCCTCCTCCTCCTCCCCCTCCTCCTCCTCCTCCTCCTCCTCCTCCTCCTCCTCCTCCCTCCTCCTCCTCCTCCTCCTCCTCCTCCCCCCATCACTCCTGCCCCGACGCCCCCCCTCTCGATGCATCGTGGAGCGTGCAGGCAGGCCTCTGCCCTGCCGACTGGGGGCCCAGTGCGCGCGCGCTGCGTGGCGCTCGGGCCGCATGCCACCACACGGCCGTGCGTCCTCCCGCGCGCCGCGGGTCTCCCGCCTCCCTCGCCCCAGTTCGCTGCGCGCCAGGTCCAAGCGTTGGGCGCGCAGCCGCTTGCCAGCCGGCGCCCTGGCGACCACCTGCGCGCATCGGCGCGTGATCTCCATCACCGACTGCCAAGCAACGGCTCTTGATGAAGAACCGGGCCGGGGGAAGGGGTCCAGACCTCTGGGGGGCGACGTTGTGGAAGAAAGCGCGACGTCGGGGGCCTGGGGAAGGTCAAGAACTTCTGGCCCTGTCGAGACTCCAGATCCGTCACCCGCTGGGGGGAGGCGGAGCAGCAGCAGGACGAGGGCGATAATGAGTGTTCGTGGCCACGCTGCGCTGAACGGACGCTTGCTGACACTTGTTTCTCGGCGTGTTTCGTTTACTAACGTTCCTCCTTCTTGCCTCCGAAGCGCCGAATGAGGCCCCAACAAACCAAACACGCATTCTGATTTTGGCTTCTGCGCGGTCTTCGGCACCGTCAGCGTTGGCGGGTTCCGCTGGGCGAGCGGCGGCTAGGACGCAGAGATGACGAGTAATCAAATCAGAAAGCCTTGTGGCCTCTTCGGCGTCGAAGAACTCCCCATGGGTTCGTTCCAAGCAGTGGCCTCTGGCGCTCCACGCTACCTGGGCAAGCTTCCACGCAAAAATCCTCAATGGCCCAGCTTCCAGGTTTCCCGGACTGCGGCCCGGCCAGTCGGCGCACGGCTCCGCCTTTGCGAACGCACGCGTAGCCGCGAGCCTTTACGAGGGAAGGTGAGGATGCCTGCGTGAGCCTCCTGCATTGGCTCTCGAACGGGCGCGCGTGCGTGCCCCCCACTTGCAGCCTCTCGAAGGCCGCAGGCTGGGGCGTGGGAGTCGCGGTCGCACCCCGCTGCGGCGCTTCCGAGTATTGACCGTCGTCCACTCGGGCCCCTACTGAGGGCAGACCGCGATCAATTTGGCAGTGTTGTCCACTTGGGCGTTACCCCCCTCCATAGACGGGGCGTCCCACCGGCCAGCCTGCCCATGCCCGCGCCCTCCTCGCTGGAAATTCTGATAGGGGAGCAAACAATGACATAAACATAAAAGCTCGGAGATCCGCGCGGATTTCTCGGATCGGCACTGGACTCCCCTCCCTGGCGCGCGGACCGCGCCAGGGGTGGCGCCGGAGGCGCCGGCAGGGGCCTCTAGCGCCGATCCGAGAAATCCGCGCGGACCTCTGAGTTTTTACGTTTATGTCATTGTTCGCTCTCCGATCAGAGCACCGGCTCGAAGACACCGCATTTCGGGCCTCGGCCCGGGCTGCAGAGGCGGGGCCTTCTCCAGAGGAGATGCGCATGGCGGCGCGAGGGCGCGCGGACGAACACGCCTATGGCGCGGCGCGAGGCGCGAACTCGGGCAGCAAGATGCTTCCGGACCTCGTCGGCCGCCCGCCCGCCTCCGAGGAGCCCATGGGTAAGCCTCCAAGAGGATTCATGCGCACAGCAACGGTAGGTGGAAATAGGGAAGGCAGCCTCAAAACACATTCGCGCTGTTTGAGGCACCCTCGGGCTAAGGAGATCCAAAGCATTGAGTTCAGCTCGCGCGCGCGCCCCAAACTGGAACTACTCACAGGGAGCACATCCCACACACAACTTCACCCAAGAACTGGAACACAGAAGAGGGTCCATCCTGAATGGCCCCAGGCCCCCGGATCAAGACGCCCCCTGCTACGGCGAGAGGCCCCACCACGCCGTGCAAGAGTCCAACCCGCGTTCTTAGAAGCCCGCCCGCCTCCCCCTGCACGCCGGGGGCCGTGCACTCGGAGGGGAGGAGGAGGAGGAGCAGGAGGAGGAGGAGGAGGATGCCTCCAAGAGTCCTGGGCCCCCTACCACGCCAGTCGGCCGCGCACCCGCTGCCCTGCCACAACCTCTGGCCAGAGCCCGTGCAGAATCGGACTCCTCCCAAGGCTCCCCCCTGGCCAGCTCTTCGAGCCGTGGCCACGAGAGCCACAAGAAAAACGCTCTAAAACCTCGAACACACCGTTGTCCTCATCGTCGTCGTGGGCGTTGTCGTTGTCCTGAGTCGGCCCGGGAAGGTCCCCCGGAGGCCGAGAATAACGAAAACCTCCCGACGTGATCTGTTCACAGCGCGAGGGGGTCTGGGCCTCCTGGGCCCTGGAGGCCACCAGCACCCCTGAGAACCGCCCTCGCCCCTCTCCCCCCAAAAGGACTTTTGCGGCAAGGCCCGCCCTCTAAGGTTAAGTCGGGCATGTCCTCCTGAACTGAAAAGTAGCCCAAAAATGTTCGAACACATGCAAAAATATCAGAAACATCGTCCCCAGACCAGTTTCTGCTATTTTTGAGCTTTCCTCCTGCAGAGAGACGTGCTTTGAACGGTCCTCCAGCAGAGGGACGTGCCCGACTGAAGGCCAGGCCCGCCCTCTGGGACCTTGCCCTCCGAGAAGCGTGCATCCTCCAGCGCGCCCTGCCGTGCTCACGAGGGCATGGGCCGGGGCGCCGGCGGCCCTCCGGATGGAGAAGGGGGGAAGGAAGCGCGAGGATAGGGCGGGGGGGGGGGGGAGCGGTAGTGGGGAGCGGGACGACTGTGAGCGATCCCCGAGCGACTCCCCGGGAACTCCTCGGGGCCTCCCGTGCCCCCGCCGTGCGAAGGAAGCGCATGCAAAAATGTCCACCTCGTCGCAGTCTGGACTCCTCGGCCGCGGCCCCGTGGGTACACGACTCTGCGCGGGTGCCCGGCGCGGACCGCGTCCTTGGGATCGCACCCTCGGCGGGTCACGTCACGGCGCGCGGACCGCGAAGGCATGGATGTGGGCATGGTCTACGACAGCTGCTCAGGATCGTTGCCCAGGCCCTTCCGCGGGATCCCTCCGGGCCGCTTTTTCCTCCGGGTGCCCGACGGCCCGAAGCCAGCTCCCGCTGCCGCACGCGACCGCAGAACAGCTGCCCCGACGCCTCCTGCTCCTCGGGGGGGGGGGGGCCCTCCCCGCCGCCCCCCCACCCGACGCCCGGGCCTCGTCATCTTGCACCCGTGCGCGTGGAGGGTTCGGTAGCGACGCCCGGGGCGCGCCGCACGCAGAGCTGGGCCAGAGGGGCTGCCGTGCGAGAGAGAGGGCAGCTGCGGGCCCCACCGCCACGTCGACTCCTCCTCCCTCCTCTGCCCTCCTCTCCCTCTCCTCTGCCCTGGGAGAAGGGGTGAGGGAGGTGGTGGTGGTGTATACGTTTGTGGGCCCCGTAGGCAGGATCGGTCGGCATCGAATCGGGAACCCGGTCGCGTCGGGGGTGAGCGCCAGAGCGGAGCATCGCCACAGGAGCGGGCGACAGATCGGGCTGGCCGTGCCAAAATGCACACAACGGCGCCACGCAAGCACAAGGCCACATCGGGTCGTCGGAATATCGGAAGGTTCCCACAATCTCATGATACAGTGGAGGCCAGTCCCCAAGAAACCTTCCACAAGAGACCTAACCCTGAGACCCCAGGACCTCAATTGGTTTTTGGTGTGGGAACGTCACGCGCTCCATCGCAGAACTATCGAAACCCAAGAAACACAGGGCACCCTGGAGGCAAGCAGGGCGTTTCTTGGCATGGGCCCCCACTGTATGTATACATCCCAGCCTCGGAGCGGAGGCCACAAAAGTATCCGAAGAACAAGGGAAGGCTGTCGGGGTCAGGCTCCTACAGCGATGGGCGTCGCCCGCTGACTTCCCCGCCAACGCTGCGCTGCCGACGTTTTCAGACTGGCTCTCTGCACAGCATTACGTCGTCGAACCCTCACTCACATGGTGCCCACTGCAACAGGCATAGCTGCCCATGTTGTCGTTCGGAAAAACGTTTGCCGAGCATTGATCGTTCGGGGATGCAAAAGACAAGCATAACCATTTGCACACATTCGCAAGCGTCAAGGGGAGTGTATGTGATACCACCGCCTGGGCCCAAAACAATGCACTCGCGCAGCAACTGTGGAACCGCAGTACTTGCGTGGAGCAGTGTGTGTGTGTGTGTGTGTGGAACCCTACGTGAATAGAGCAATGTGCGTGGAGCTTCGTGCGTGCGAATTCCATCGGTGTGGAGCCCCATCCGATGATCCTCTGAGTGTTTTCTTTGCCGTCAGAGTGTAAATACAAAGAACCCTTGCAGGCAGGCTATCAGGCAACACTCGCACACACACACACACACACCAGATCAGGCGTGTAGCAACATGAAGACGTTCGTAACAAATACGATGCCCATTGACGGTCGGTTTCCAGCACCCACTCCATCACGACTGGACGAGCGAGAGCCGCCGCAGATCGCACAACAGAGACATCCGCAGGGGCTTTCACGGATCTCCTTTCAGAACGCGCACTAACGATTCTACCGATCGGCACGCACAAGATACGATAACAAACAATGCACACACTGAGTTTTGAACGTGGCCGGGAAGCGTATGTAAGGCCGGGCTGACCGATACTTTGTCTTGAATTAGGAGACTACTGGGTGGGACACGAGATAATGTACATGGCCCGCATACATCCGAATCGGGGATCAGGCATTTGCGCAGCTGCAGAGACCGAGGCGGGCCATCATCATTCCTTGACCTCCCTATGGCAGGGAGCACTCCGAAGAACGCTTGCAAAAAAACTGTTAAGCAGGACCGAAAGTAGAATCCCAAACCAGTCGATACTCCCAGATGCCAAATCGATTTGCCTTTCAGTCCTTGGGGCCGACATGTCTTCGACCTCATCCAGTGGGCTCGCTTTCGTCCTGGTTCGTTGTCTGTTGGCTTTTGGGCCCAGAAACACGCCCCACAGTCCGAAAGCCATAAACAAAACATAGGAGACAACAAATCCGAACGAGGAATGGGCTACGGAGATCACACCAACGAGAGCTGCCAATGCAGCCAGGTACCCCCGCCTGGCCGAGCGCATCAGGCAGAGCAGTAACTCTTCGCCGTGGGGGACCGATGCATAACTGCTGCATAACGCCGCATCTCAAGGCCCTCCCCCGCCCTCCCCTTCCCCCCTGCTCCTCTCCCCATCCACGTCCTCGTGCCCCTCGTCTTTGTCCCACCCCCTCCTCCTCCTCCTCCTCCTCCTCCTCCTCCTCTTCCTCCTCCTCCTCCTCCTCCTCCTCCTCCTCCTCCTCCTCCTCCCCCTCCTCAGACACGGACACGGGGAAGGGATTTCAGGGATTCCAGCTACAGCACGGCCACGTGTGTCGAACGCACGGGGGGAGACGAAGCGTGGATAGGGAACGGAATGGGAGGATGTGCGAAGAGGCGTCGAATACGGCGCAAAAGAACAGAGGAGCGCCCCCTCCCCACGCCTCCGACGGATTGACTTCATCAGAGCCGCCAGCACCCAAAAACCTCTGGGATCCGGTCCCCAGGGACCGCTCTGCCACTCCGAGCCTCGCTTCTTGGACGGCCTCGGGGCCGGAAGGAAGCGACCAGGAGACGCCGAAAACGGCGAGATGCTTCCGCCGCGACCCTACTGTCGCCAGGAGTCTGGGTCCACATTGGCCAGCGGACCTGTCCTGGGGAGCCTTCTGGCCCAACCCATGGGGTGAGCCCAGCCGTGGCGACGAGAGGGCGCCGCGGGTGGCAACATATGGAAATCTCGGGGCCTCCTCCTTGATCACCCCCACTTACTGGAGCCTCCGACGTCGTGAGGACCATGGGGAGCCCCCCAGAGTGTGCGGAGTCGCAGGGCCTGCCCCTCCCTGGAGCACCTGGAGCTCTTCGACCTTGGAACGTCGCAGAAGGTACCCGTACCTCTTCTCTCCGGACCTCTCCCGTGGTGCGCTCCGACCAGGACTTCGAGGCGCATCCCGCCGGGGCGGCGTGGGCCTGCCGGAAGGCCCCAGCAGCAGGGGACCACGAGGGCAGGGCAGCCGTATGGGCACCGCGTCCTCCTCTGCAGACCGGGCCGTCCTATGTGTGCTCATCGCTGGGGGCGGGGCGCCCAGCGCCCGTAGAGAACGGGAGGCCCTGCGTGCCCACCGGCGGCCACGCCACTGCCCAGAGGTGCACCGCCAGCACCTGTGGCCCTCCCCGCCCCCTCCCGCGGAGACGGCCGCCATCTCCAGGCCCTCGAACGGCGGGAAGCGCTGGGGCTCGCCGCGGCCCTCTCGGCGCACCTGCCCCCCCACTTGGCCGTTCCGGCCGCCCCGGCCGTCCCGCCGAGTGCGGGCAAGACTTTTGTCCACATCATAGCCACTGCAGCTTCGAATTGGTGGTCTCCAAACCACGTGGTGAGACACCCGGTGGTGACCCCGATTCCCCCGAAAAATAATTCTGGGTCACCACCGGGTTTGGGGACACGCGGTCGCCACGAGGTTTTGCGTTTCCTGCGCCAGCCAGCGCTCGAAAACCATTACCCAAATCGCCCAAAACTCACCACCGGGTGTTGTCACCACCACGTTTGGGGACCGCCAATCGAATTTCGGGCTTCGGAGGCGCACCGGAGACGGACAAGAATCTGGCCCCATGAGGCTCGACTTTCACCTATATCCAGTGCGCCTTGGCCTTGCGGCGCCTGTTCCGAGAAAGCCCAGGACGCACTGGATATGCATATAGATCTTGCCCCCACGTAACCCCACTCCGTCATCCCCGCCCGCTGAGTTCTGCCGGCGACGCTCGAGGATCGAGGAGGGGTGTGTTCGGACGTTTCTGGCGAAATTCGGCTGCCGCTTTTGCAATTGATTCGGGCATCAGGGGCCTCTGAGGACGGCAAGAGGTCAGTTCCATGATTCACCTCCTCGGGTCCATTTCGACAAACCAAGCCTCGGAGCCGCACTTCGAGATCCAGCGTCGTGGAGAAACGCAGCGTGATCAAAAATGACCACCTGACCTCTGTCGGATCGAACTCCCGAATACGGCATCTCCTGAACAGGGCCATAATTAAGCAAGCCGTGGCCCCCTTCCTGTTCGAAGCCTCCTGTCCTGGCGGCATCCAACGAAAAATGCTCGCCATGGCGACCCTGTCTCTGCACGTGGGAGGCTTCCCATCGAGTCCAACCCTGACTCCCCACCCCCTAGCCCAGCCCGTGTTACGATACACCACCAGGTTCAGACCATCCCCATCCTGAGTCTGCGACTGGGCCAGACGCGGGCCCAGGATGGGCCTGGCCGAGGCTGGCGCTGGTTTTGAGGCTCCGTGTCCCAGGCTGCGACGGTGCCCCTCATCAAGGGTGCCTTAAGATTGGCCGCGCTGCGTTTTGCAGGGGGGAGGCGACCTCCCATGAGCAACTGCTCCGGAGCCCTTCGGCGGCCCTGCAGGGGAACCCGTGTGGCTGAGCGCCAAGACAAGCACCCTGGCGAAGTGGCATCCTTCCGCCCACACCTCCCACGTCGTGTTTTTTCTGTTGGGGGGGAACGTTGACACCCAGAGCTACGGACCCCTTCCCCCAGGACGGCGCGTTCACCCTGAATGATTCTCCGTGGGTGATGGGCCCCCAGAAGCAGACACTTGTTACAAAACCCTTGTCCCGACTTCTGCCGAGACGCGAAGGGGTCTGGGAAAAAAGGCACCCCGGCGATGAGACACCCTCCCCCCTCGACCTCCACAGCCCGCACCCTCCGCGCGGCGAGCACTGCCGCGGCGTGACCGCGGCGACCGCCGCGGCCGCGGCGCCGGCGAACACGCCGCCGCGCCCGCCGCGCGGAAGGCGCGGATGGGGCCGAGGAAGGGTGAGGGCCTCCTCCCCCCCGCGGCGCCTCGACTCGGTTCTGCTCCGCGTGGACGACGACCTCGGGCGGACGGGACGCGCCAACGTGCAGGGCGACGCGTTCCGTCGGGGGGGGGGAGCGCGGCTGCCCCGGAGCGGCTTCGGCGGCCCGCCCATCGCGGCCGTGCCGTGATGCGTAAGCGAGAGGCCGGAGCACGTGCTCTCGCGTCGGCGGGCCGCTGGGACATTCGGCCAGCCAGTCAGCCAGCATCCGCTGAGGCAAGCTGGAACCCACTCGGAAGTGTCTCCCCCACCGCAGAGACAGACCACGGGTCAAACACGCGCACACACAGACACACACACACACACACACACACACACACAGATAGACAGACAGACAGACAGACAGACAGACAGACAGACAGACAGACAGACAGACAGACAGACAGGCAGGCAGACAGACAGACAGGCAGACATAAACACATATACACACACACACTCTTTAGCGCCGCGGCCTCGCGCGCAGCGTCGAGGCGTAGTAGGCCGTGAGAGGCAAAGCACAAGACGCACGCGGTCGGCCCCTCAGAAGATGGGGGCACACACGCGCGACACTGTTTGGCGTTGCGGCCACGCGCGCGGCGGCGCGGCGTAGACAGTCGAGCGGGAGAACGCGCGCGGCTTGGCCAGCTCACGCGGAGAAGGGGCTGGGGATCTGCCCATAGGGGATCGAACGGGTCACTCGCGCGGGGACGCGAGGGGGCATTTCAAACGCACACACAGACAGACACATGCGCACACTGATTTGTTCTTGACCCGCAGGTTTGCGCGAAACATGCGGGTCTGGTCGTCGCCTTGAGACCTCGCTGATGTCACTGCTCCTATTCCTGCCCTGCTCCTCCTCCTCCTCCTGCTCCAGACCCGCGTGCTTTCCTGACACCTCGACACTACGCTGCTGGCACTGCTCCTCCTGCTGCCCCTGCTCCTTCTCCACTCCAACATGCTCCAGACCCGCATGTTTCCCCGGAACATGCGGGTCTGGTCGTCGTCTTGACACTACGCTGTTGACACTGCTTCTCCTCCTCCTCCTCCTCCAACTTCTCCTCCTGCTGCCAGGTTTGACCGCATGCACTTTGACCCTACATGAAATACCTTTCGGAGCTGGTTGTATGAGTTGACGCTACGTAGAATACACAACGTGCAATACACCACGTAAACTACAGTACGAAAAAACTATGCTACGTCAGATACTCTTCGATGAGCACACAGCGGGAAATACACGACGTCGTATGCACTACGTCGATGTCTTGACTCAAGGTGAGATACCCGCCCGCCCCTGAGTCATCTGCCCCCTCTTGGCCGCCCCCGACGCTCTCCCCCGTGTCGCGCGTTCGAGTCTGCGCTGCCCGCGCGGAGCCGCAGCTCCCTCGCCCAAGAGAGTCGGGCCGGGCGATAGGGGGGGATAACACAGGGGGGGGGGGTGAGAATCAGCTCACGTAGCTGATTTTCCCGGCGCCTCCCGGCGCCAGAGGCGGCTATGTGTCGAGGAATGGGCCCGGCGGCGGGGCCGAAACCAGCTGCACGCAGCAGATTTCGTACCCCCCCCTTTCCCAATCCCCCCCTTTCGTTCGGCCCGACCGTGCCGCGCGTTCGAGCCTGCGCTGCCCGCGCGGAGCCGCAGCTCCCTCGCCCAGGAGAGGCACGCGCGCACCCTCGGCTTGCTCGGCCCCGGGGAGGGCCCGACTCCTGCCTGCCCCGGGAGCGCCCATGCGGGACCCGGCGGCAAACCCCGGAGGCTCAAGTGCGAGTTGGGCGTCGCCTGATGTAGGGGAACAAAAAGTGGCATAAACATAAAAACTCCGAGGTCCGCGCGGATTTCTCGGATCGGCGCTGGAGGCGCCGCTGGGGGGCCCCAGCGCCGATCCGAGAAATCCGCGCGGACCTACGAGTTTTTATGTTTATGTCACTTGTTGTTCCCCTATGATGGGGAGGCGATCCATGGAAGGGGGAGAAAGGTACGCTTCGCGGGCCAAAGAGACCCCCTG